AAAGAAACCCAATACGGTAGCTTGTATCCCTCACATTATCCTAATTCATATTTCTCTGGCTTAGATTGATAGTTTTTAGGAATAGGATACCGGTGCATGTTTTTTTTTTTTTATATGTTTGTTAAAGTTGTTTTGTTAAATATGTTGTTTAAATAGGCCTATATCAGAAATCAGAATCTGAAACGTTTTATTGTCCTCCAACATTTGATAATATAACGTTGATTTATATTATGTATAAGCACAGGTTCTATTTATGAATGATTACAAGGAGTTACTATGCCTCTTTATGTTTCCTAAATGATTTATCAAGTTTTTTGTTTTGAAATCACATATAGAGTTCAGAAATAACATGTTTTGCATAACTTAGACTAGGAGTAATGTTTTCAAGAATAGGCTCTTTTATTTATCTTAGTTTAATAGCTGAGCAAAATTATTAGCATTATTTCAGTATGTAGGGCCTACATAGACAGCTGAAGTCATATAATACCTCCGACACAGCAAACGTGCAGACAAAGCGAATTTCCATTTACCTACTGGATTTCTACAAAATATTCCCAAAAATTAATCAAACTTAGTAGAAACACTTTTATTTATTTCCTGACAAAAAGTTAATGGACAAAATTAGCAGGCCTAAGAGTTTGATTTTAAATTAAGTTAACTTATGTCATGACAGTTTGTCTGAGAATATGTAGGCCTACTCAACTTGCAGTTTCACAGTATCACATTGCATGCACGCTCGGCCCGAGTGGAGTGTTGTGCGAGCAAACAAATAGTTCAGAAAAACAAGGAAACAAATTAAAATTTGCTCAGCGTGATAATACTACACACTCCAACTCGTGTGAGCTGTTACTCGCATCACCCGATTCATGCAACTAGCCTAAATTTATTTGTTTTTTAAGCGAGTACGTGCTCGCAGTTTGTAGTATTTTGGTTTCCGATTTTTTTTTTTTAAAGTGGATGAACTTTAAATTGAGTTGGTTTATGCTATTGGGACGAAAGTGAAAAGAAACATTCTTTAGAACAGAAGAATAGAAGTTAAACATTATTCGTCTGTCTCAAAAGATCTGGAAAAATTAGATGGTACAGTATTCTCCTGCTACTTCTACGCCACCGAAGTAATCGTTCATCCATTCTTCCCTAAATGGTTCACCTCCCACTACTTAGAACTTCAAACACTACTTTTCCATCACAAAAGTTAATCATCACATGATCTTTTACATCAGCCACTGACTAAATAGCCAACTATATGTGAGTAGCTCCTAGTACCGTAATAACACCCCAACTCGTGCGAGCTCGCGTTACTTAATGCACGTGCGAGCATGTGATCATAGCCTAAGAGTTGAGCAGTAAGAAAACTACTGGTAGGCATAGTATTTTTAATTTCTCTTTCTTAATGTCAACGTAATTTTATATTAGTGTAAAGTGGCTATGCCGTTGGGGAAAAAATAAATAGCCTAAATACCAGTAGCCTACTGGTGACAGTACCTATATAAGTTTAAAGCATTATAATCAAATTAATAACTTAATCTTATTTTTATTTGGTTTCATGGGAATTATTAAATTAGGCCCTATA